TATATCTGTATTGTAGTGTTTTCGGACGGTACTAGCTCTTACTGCCAATATAGGAGTATTACATATATGCCGTAAATGTACTTTTTATTCAGAGCTCGTAATACGGAAATTCTAGCTGCGCGCGTAAAACCAGACGAAACCGAATGGCTCCGACTCGATGATTTTGCAGTGGAAGGGTTAACATCTTTCCTTCCTGAAGCAGATGTATGTGATGACTTCACACTTTCCTCACCGTCGGTGCAAGCTGATAAAGTCTAGGCCCTTCAAGAAGATGCTTTAGAATATATAGCAGAATATATCATGCGAAAACTTGGTTTGGAAGAGTATGTCGCTAGTGAGCCTACGTATACCTGGGTCGATGAGGTGTCCAGAGGCGGTTTATTAAAACCAAAAGCTGACTTCTTTGAGCAAATAAAACTTTTGGAATCAGTATTTCTGAAATTCAACGGGACGACTGTATCTTATGTACCATCGTACTATGGGAAATTTGAGCCTATTTTGTGGCCAAAAGTCAATTTCTTGACTTGCTTGAAATTAATTTTTTTTTTGTCTTATCTTACAGAGAATACTTCAAAGTAAAAAACTGTATACCCTGTTTTTCGATGAATTGACTTACCGTTGATTTGGTAACCCTCAAACAGATAGTTTCGAAATTTTCTGAAAAATGTGTAGCTTGATTTTGTGCCACTTTCAAATGCGTGTATCTCATAATCTATTTGCTGCTTTTCAAAAGTGAAAAGTGGAAAGAAAGAGTGACGGTTAGCAGAATATTTACCAATGAAAACTTGTATTGTAGTTTAAAGTGTACTTTAAAGTCAAATTGTACAATTAAAAAAAAAAGTTTATTTAGTGTTTTAAAAAAATGTTTACAAACGTTAAAAAAAACTCATCATAAATCGGTAGAATAGTCCCTGATCTCTTATTTCCCCATAATCTTATACTGCGATTTTGTGCGATATTAAAGAAATTATAATTTTTCTTAGGTAACTACTTGGTACAAAATCATGGGTTTTATGAAATAATTCACGGTGTTGTAATTTAAAAGTTGGAAAAAAAGCTATCAGATAACAAAGAGAAAGTTTTAAACTTAAGGTCAGTGGAGGATTCGAGTCGATATTTACAATAGAACGTACGAGGCATCTGTTTATTGGGTGACCATTACGCAATTTTTTGGAGGTGCGACCATTACGGGTTAATTTTTGCGCGGCAAGGCCACTACTTCTAGCCAAGTTTTAAATTGATATCTCAACTTTTAGAATTTTGCCCACAAAATTGGGTCAAATTTCCCATAGTGCATCGTATATAGAGAGACTTCTTTCATGTACCGAACATTTAAATATAAATATAGACGTGAAAAAGCTATTTTTGAAATGTAGAATGCATCTTCGCATTAAAAATTTGAGCAAACGTGATAAAGCTTCCCAAAATAAATAGATGTATATGTGTAGTTCGGCAAACAGGCACGAATAAAAGTGTTTTTTTCTCGATAGAGTTTTTCTACATACCTAAATGTTTTATTTCAATTGGTATGGTATGGGTTAATATGTTGGTGGGCATATGCATTTTAATTTGAAAATCATATCATAATCACGTCCCATACTAATTTGGCTTAAATCCGATTATTTGGTCATGAAGAAATTAACGGTACTATTAAATTTGTATATGAGAATTGAAGTCGGTAAAAAATTACTTGTATTAAAAATGGATCCTCTAAATGGAGCTGAAGCTGAAATAATTCAAGGTATTTTGTTTTTGCTTTTAGCGGGCCCTTGTCAAATTTCAGCTATTCTTCCCCGATTGAAAAAGGGGACAGAAAACACAAACACTCTCACGTTTTCACTCACTCACTAGCGAAATACAAAATTTTCGGAATCAAACGCTACTCACAGCTGATAAAACAACACCATCTTATACAAATTCGCATTAAGAAAAAGTATATACGAATGCAGTAAGCTACGCTGGCGTATTCATACACAAAAGTTATATATAGGGCTGCCAGATATCTCTGTTGCCAAATCGGGACACCTTAGGGAGGACCTCTCGCTCCCTTCTCTTTCATTTGGACGTGCGAAAGGATGTAGTGAAATTTTATTTTGACTGACAAAAACAAAAACATGAAAACATGAGATCATGAGATCATTACAACGTACGCCAACAAAACAAAACAACTTATCACAACTAAAGCACAGAGAATTTTTCACAATGCATGAACCTTTTTTTATTCTTTATAAAAATACAGTTTATACTAAATATATGAAAAAACATAAAAATAAAATTGTTAAACTTTGTGCTAAACTCGGGAAAATTCAATAAACTTGCATACAAATTTGCCACATTCTAATCAGACCTTTTATAAAAATTTTTAAAATGAAGTTTTGCAGCCCATTAAATTTTAGTTTATTTTTGGTATTGTTTTTACTGAGAGTTTCTTCCATACAAACTATGTTCGATAATTCTTTTTATATGGAAGACACTGTCAGCAAAGAAAAATGAATGCTAAAAATCAACGAAATTTGCTGGCAACTTCAGACTTGCACTTTATTAATTGGCTCAAAAGGAACATTTTCAAAATTTGTCTAAAAGATCTGATTAGAAATTGGGATCTGATGAAAGAGCCTCGCAGCCAATAATTTTGTACAGCACAGTACCTATAAGTACTCTAGGTTTCATGAAAGAAAAAAATTAAGTACAAGATAACATTAAAATATCAGTCACGTTTTTCGTTGCTGTGAACTTGTTTCAAAACTTCTGTATTTTCCTTAATATAATTGTAAAACTCTGTGCACGTCATTTTGAACGTATTTAGGTACATATACTAATCATCAACTATTACTTGTGCAAAGTTCAACTATCACGAAATGTGACTATTTCACAAATTAAACCGGTGCACTGAGAGAAAGAAGTTTAGAATTAAAAAAGCGTGCTAAATTAGAAAAATACGCATATGAAAGAGCACCAACCAAACTCGTAATACATTTAAGTATACAAATTTTAGTATTTAGTATAGAAATATTCAATACAAATACGCCCATACTAAAATGAAGCGATTTGCAATTACCGATTGCTTTTTCATAATTAAGTTAAAAAAATATTTAAATTCCATGCTGGTTGTAATGGGAATTGAACCCTGACCCTCTGGAAATTAGCAAATTGTGGCAAGCATCTTCCCGCACTAAACTACAGCCAGACATGTAAATATGCATTTAAATGTTGAGTTTGAATCAACACCACGCGTGCGTGTTATGGAAGTATTATTTCTTAACACGAACACTTTTAAACGATAATCAAATAGAAAATATTCATGTTTACTATACGTTATGCCCAGTGAATTCATAACATTTTTCTGAACATTACAACGCGTTTTTCTCTTAGTGGAGCGATTTTTGAACTTTTATTCAAATTTGTGCAATCAAATCAAAAACCGGGACACTAAAATGAAGCCCGGGACATTTTAAGGTTCGACCGGGACACCGGGACAAATAGTCTAAAGCCGGGACAGTTCCGGGAAAACCGGGACGTCTGGCAGCCCTAGTTATATAGTTATTGGAAAACATCAACCAATTTATTAAAATTAATGCAGTTAAACTAGTTTAAATTAATTAATACTAGTGTTCGCCCAGCGGTCAAAATTCGACCGCTAAAATTAAGGATAGTTTATATGAATTTATATGAGTTGAGCTGAAATAACATTAGTTGGAATGGGTTAAGTGGAGGGGAGTTTAGCTTAGTACTTAGCTTAACATAACATGAGATTAAATAACATAACATATGTAGTATAACACACCACAATATAACATCGCACATTCTTCAGTTGTATTTCCTTTTTATCCCTATCACTTTCTTCCTCTCTATCATTGTCTCTATCGCTTTTAATGTTTATGTTTATGTTTATCTTCACCTTCATGTTCGTGCTCATGTTCATGTTCATGTTCAAGTTCATGTTCATGTGCAAGTTCATGTTCATATTCATGTTCATGTTCATGTTCATGTTCATCTTCATCTTCATATTCACCTTCGTTTATATTTAGGTTTCTTTACTTTTATTCTAATCTTTGCTTTTATCCCTTTCTTCGTCTACATATTCAACTTTACCTTCTTCCTTGCATGAATCTTAATCCTCACAAATCTGATTCCTAAACTGCTGCTTTGCACGTTTCTTTAATTCAGTATCAATATTAAAGCATACATTTAGGGGGCATTTCCGCCCCAACCATGTACATGTACGGCATTAGTATTGGTGTCACTTTTTAATTGATTTTTTCGCTTTATGTTAAACTTATTTGAAATTTGGAAAATTGTCTGCACATCAGCATCAAAATACCTTTCTAATGATATATTATTTAGAGGTATAGTTTAGCCGCAAAAGGGGTGTAAAGAAAACATGATTTCCTATTTATATAATTGATTGATAATCAAACCGTTTTTAGTTTAATAATACTACTATGCAATATCAAGCATACCTTTTCGAAATTTCACTACCCTTTTGAGAAATGGGATCGTATTCTTCGCCTTTTCCTCGTGTTTCCAAAAAACATCCCTGTGGGTGGTAGTGTCATTTTTTTGAAAAAGCTACTTACAAGACCTTTAATTATTGAATCATGCTTCGCTCACTAACCAGCCGTTTTCTTCTTTATGTCATTTAAATTTAATTGTCATTTACAAAAATATTCATATGCCGGATTTCCACTAGGTATTGAAAATACAAAAAATGCATGCCATTTAAAAAAAATGCCATGTGGAAATGAACTTAATGACTATAGCCGAATTTCCACTAGGCATTGAAATTACAAAAAATTTATGCCATTTAAAAATGCCATGTGGAAACGAACATAATGACTGCTATTGTCATTAAATGCCAACGATTGTCATTGAATTTTAAGCTAATGACGAAACAAGTGGAAATACATTTAATGACAAGTAAGATTTGTATGTGTCATTAAATGCCTTAAAAAATTTAATAATTGTTTCGTTCATTTTTTTTGGAAAAACGAGTGCGAAAATGTTCGTTTGTGTGGGGGTTGGAATTGGTGCAAAATCTCGTTGCGAATGTTGAAAAGCACGAGAATTTGTGGAACCCATGTCAACGTATGTATAAAGATCGCGTATTCACCCAAAACTCGTGGGAAAGTGTGGCGGCTGTTCTTGATGTTCCACAAAAAGATGTCATTCGGGAAACAAAAAGTGGACAAACGTCTAAATATAAATGGCCCAACGAGTTAAATGAGGCACTTGCTTTTTTGAATCCTGTACTCAGTTTTCAATCAACAAACAGGGAATCGAATTTGGTGAGTGCTTATGTATGTTGTGTTGTGCCACGCAAAACAGCATTGTACTGCCATGAAACTTCCCCTGCCCGTGAGACGAAGTATTCTTTGAATTGTTCTCTAACTCGGATAGCATCGTTACTTTGACATCAGTGACATGTGGAAATATTGTGAAAATTGTTTTCTTCGCGAAGGATGGCACGCCAAGTTCCTTCCACAACTGTGCCGTCGACTTCATGGTCTACTTCGAGTGTCGATACATTATTTTTAGATAGCAGAAAGTTATGTAAAACACAAATAGCAAGAACTAACTTAATAGCCCTGTCTACAGATACGTCAAGGCATCGGCGAAGTACACGGAAGCGAGTCGCAGATATGCCAAATGCATTCTCCACTACTCTACGAGCTCTGGACAATCGATAGTTAAATACTCGTTGATCAATTGAATGTTGACGAAATGAATATGGTTTCATAATGAAATTTTTCAGTGGAAACGCGTCATCGGCCACAACCACGAATGTAGCCGGTTGTGATTCCTCAGAAAGCGATTGCGGTTGTGGTATATTTATCAAATTAGTTTCCAATGCTTTGGAGAGAGAACATCTGGAAAGAAGTTTTCTGAAAATTTAAGTTAATAATTTCTCATTGAAATACCCACCTCGAAAACACTTCACCATCTGAATCGCGACCATATGCGCCAACATCGACGTACGTAAATTTGTACTCGGCATCTACCATTGTCGTCAGAACAATACCGTTTTATTTTTTTATAATTAAAATATTCAGAACCGCAATTTGGCGTAGCTTGTATGTGGACGTGTTTTCCGTCAAGTGCCCCTATGCAATTGGGGAAGTTCCAACGCCTCTTGAAAATGTTGGCAATTGTTTGCCACTCTTCTTCTGTGTTTGGGCACTGAGAAAATAGAATGGAATTTTTTTTATAAATACACTTTTCGTATTCCGTATACACCCCGCTAAGCTACGATTAGAAATATAAAAACACAACGTGATCCATAGTTTTAAATCATACTAAATTTTTTGCCAACATTTATTAGCCTTGTAAATTGCCTTGTATATTGTCGTTTAAAGTACAAAACCGCGTATCGTCATTCTGAAAAACCGCGTAACTGACATTGGCTGCCAAAAATTGAGTTTGCTCACACAAACTCTTGGCTTAATCCTTATCCATTAGTCCTGAAATATACTAGCCAGAAATGCGATTGCTTTATAAAAAAGAGAACCAATTTGAAATATGAATGTTTTTACTCTCCAGTAAATAATTTATGCAACCTCACATACGCGGTTTTGCATTATCTTGATACGCGGTTTTGCATTTTGTTGATACGCGGTTTTGTACTTTAAACGACGATATGTATATTGCTAGCATACTCAAATACATTCCTTAACATCGGAGTGTATAGTGCAAAGTAATATATAAAAGAATGAGAGATACGATAAGAAAATGTACCCAAAATTCAAGTACAAATGAAAAGATCCTATTCAAAATAATTCACATGTATGAATTAAAAAATATAACTTAAGCGGTCACAGCGATAAACAAAAGGAAGAATTAGAAAAAATAAAAATGCTGGATGAAGGAAACATGAGACCATAACATTTTTGTTTGTTTCGTTAATTCTCTGAACCTTTTATGATATGACACTCCATTCTTCGCGTAGTTTGCAAATATACACTTACACCCCTATTGCTAGTGACGACTAGTAGTAGATAAACGACTATTATTCGATTATCGCTTTTCCAAGGTATTGTGAATGCCGATTTCTCGTTAAATAAGCGACTGAATAATTTTTAGTCGTCCATCCTACTTCAGCTGTTTGTTTGTAGAAGCATAAGCGGCTATAATTTATTCACACTGACTTATTGAACGAGACAACGACGTTCACAATATCATGGGAAAGCGATAATTGAATAATAGTCGTTTATCTACCATCAGTCGACACTCACAATTGCAAAAATGGAAATTCTTGGATTTCGAATTTAGAATACATTACGATCATATTGTACTAAAATAATAGTGGTATCCCTGCATTCTTTTAATGCCAAAAAGAATCATCAACTGTACAAAAAAATGAAAGGGAGCAGCATGATACAAAAAAGAAGGTAGAGGGTTTCATTATCACTTATCACGCGCCATATTAACTACCTGACATTTAAGCAGATTGTGACATTTCGGTTAAGCAAAAATTTTTAAGTTGTATAGCCAAAAATAATATTTTTGCAAAAATTTTGTTTCATAAAAAGTTTAATAACTTAGTAAACTTTCATTCGATTTTTGAAAATAACCACTCGTTTTACTCGCGATTAAATTTGATTTTACAATCAATTTAGGACTGGTATGGTTTTCTTATAAAATAGTGCGTAAAAAGCTCACCAAAGTTGAAAAAAGTTGAAAAAGTAAAAAAAAGTGTTTGTTGGGTAAATACACACAGTTATCTTAAGGTTTTTATTATTCGCATATATTCGTTCAAAAGGCCCAAGTCTTTTCTTCTTAAACCCGGCAATAAACCGAAACTCGGTTCATAATGAACTAAGTTGCAGACTTATAAGTCGGCAAAAGTACGAAAACCCGTTTTACTCGAAAAGACCTACCAGAAAATATACATAACTTCCCAGGTAATTTTTAGTGTCGCACAGTGTAATCATTTATTTACTTAAAAAAAAAATATTTACATAATTAAAAGGAAATTTGTTTTCGATCTGAGCCATGGTGAAATAAATATAAGGTGATGTCACTTACATAACCTCACTTTTTCTGCATGCCAATTGCGGCCATGCATTTCGGGGTAGTAGAAAAAGGGAGAAAAGATTATGATTATTTTTACTACTTTTTGGGTACTATTTCCAATTCATACATATATCAGTGGACCCCACACCAGTTAAATGAAGTTTGCATCAATAAAGTAATATTTTTGCAAACCAGTGTAATTACAGTTTCATTTTTTCGCTCAAAATAAATTATTATTACTTAATTTTTATTTTTTCGATCAAATATATTGATTTTAATAATTATTATTCAGTTCAATTTTTCTGCCTAAAAATTATTATTTGTAAAATTTAAAAGGCCACTCGGTCGTACCACACACATATGACAATGGTTAAAACTTAAAAAATAAGGACTATTTTCCGTCTTTCATTTATTCATATTAAAACAAATTAAATTATACCGTTCCCTTTATTTAATTATTCTTAAATTCTAATAAAAATGACATATTAGCCCGTATGGAAGTTCTGAAGTACATGTATATGCGTACATAGTTTTTAAATATCTAAACTTTAAAGGGAATTTTATTACGACCTTTATTTTCGTTACCATTTTAAAATAACATTTCTGAATTCTATCAGTTATATTATAAAATAATTATGCGTTTAAATTGTTAGACCAAAATGCATTATCGTAGCAATCAGAGGCACTGCTCCAATAATATGTTGGATATATATAGTATATATTTTACCAAAAAATTACTTACAAAATCACAAATATTGGAAATTATCGCTCAAATTTTCCAATGAATTTGAAACGAGGTCAAAGGAAAAGCGAAACAAAGAAACAGTGATACCTGCGCATACTTTTTTCACAAAATTGTATGCTCCATTTTTTGTTCCATTTTGCCCAGAAATGAAATTGGAATAAATAGAGTAGGCATTACTGTAACGCTGGTATGCCGAAATTGCCAAAATTACAACAACCACCCCCTAAGTGACAACACCTTATTATTATTTCACCATGGATCTGAGCAATAACGAAAATTGAAATTCATGCATCGCCATATTTGAAAAAACAACCAACCAACTTTTTCTTTGAAATCAAAGACCGGTAAATATGTTGTCCATCGCAAAAATTAGCTACTATTAAATTAGTTTATTCTAAAGCCAGTCACCGTAAAGGATTTGGATGTGCTTTGCAAACGTAAGGCTTTAATTTCGGTGCTTCATGCTATGACACTGGCACCCAGAGTTTGAAAGTAAGTAGTTAGAAGCCTGCCTAATGCCTTAAGTGCAGCTTGGTTGTCACTGCAAATACCTCAGCCGGGGAGACCGAAGCATACTTCCCAAGATAAAAGTCCAAGAGAGAGTCAGTTTTGGAGCCATAAGTGAAGATTCGATTATGTGTGAGTCCGAGCTCAGTGCTGGTATTAAACAAGCATTCAGTCTCAAGGAACTCAACATTATAGAATACCTTCAACAAAGGCAATGGGTGTACTATCCTGTGGCAGATCTCTGCCGCTAGCAATTTCCGCCTTGCCCTACTGAGTGTTATACCAGCGACCGTTTCATTTTAGTCTGCAGGTTAGAGCTGGAAAACTATAGATGGTGGTGGCCATCGATAGTTTCGATAGTCGATAGTCACAACCATCGATAGTATCGATACTATCGAAAATGTCGACGCTATCGATATTACTATCGATAGTTTTGATTAGAAAAGTATAAAAATTTAACAACTTCTATTGAAAATGGGATCAAAATACGTCCATATTTTTGTTAAGGAACAAAAGTTCATCAACGATGTTTGGCTTCAAGCGGCATCTGCGCTCTGAAATTATTTACCGTGTTTTGCTAAATGTCCATTCTGTCTCACAAGATGAAACAGGCACCGCCGGCTCTACTCTTACTGAATAATGTATGTATAAGTGAAAACTATCGATAGTGCTTACAAAACCATCGATGTTTTCGATAGTCGAAAACCATCGATACTATCGATACTGCCATCGATAGTTTTCCAGCTCTACTGCAGGTGGCCTTTAAAGCTTCCCCACGTACGAAGACAAAAGAGCAGCGCTACGTGTTGTAGAGAAAGCTTCCGTACAGCAAACGGCAGTAGTTCTTTGAAGTTTGCAAGTCGACTTCCCACGTTCTTCATTGAGAATCTGCTCCACCATACCACTGACGCATAGCTAATTATGGATCTGATCATAGAGGTATAAATACAGAGGATTCCCTTTGGTGACACTCCCCTCGTTTCGCCAAAGACCTGATTACATTGCCAAAATGCTGTCAATTCTTTAGAGGTTTTGTGTTCCACGTTAGATTTACATGACAGTTTTGTATCCTGAATTACTTCTAGATACTTCACTTCGGGATAATTCTGAATTGTAAATCATTTAATTGTGAGGCAATGAGACCATTCAACTTTTTCCGAAGTCTGGTTCCGTACTATGCTTTAATGACGAAATATCTTTTAATACATCTTCTTCGGACTATTAAAAAAAAAGGTTTTGTTATGTAAATTTATTTATTTTGTTTAAAATAAAATAAAAAAAAGCTTTTTAATAAAGAAATGTTACAAAATTGGATTCTATTTTATTTCTTCATCTCTGCACATCGATATTATCCAAAGGATCTTTTAAACGCTTGAGAAAAACGTTCAAATTTGATTATCGAACACATCAACTTGCTATTTTTTGCATGTAAACTTTACTCTTTTATTAAATCCCAAATATTTAAAAGAAAATCTCCCCTCTCAAAAAATTTCAATTTGGCAAAGCAATGCTTAATGTTTGCATCTGGAGTAATGTCAAAAATATGCTTTATAATCCAGCAAGTATAAAAGTCTATGTTCGGCCGGAGCCGAACATTAAATACCCTGTGCAAGTATTAAATATATGATTTTCACCTTTCCGAACGCTACCGCTACATGGTAAGCCGGGGTGTATCAATTTTGAGTAAATTAGCGTCCTAAAATTTCGAAATATTGAAGTTCCAACATTTCTGAAATTCACCGTTATATAAAAAGCGGCCGTAATTTAAGTCCGATTTCAGCAATTTTCAACGTTTTGCTTCTATGTGGCAAGCAAATTACCGTACCGAGTTTGGTACAAATTGGTAGAACGGTTACCGAGATACATATATGTAACCATTAG